AACCCAAACAACGAACGACGAACGACGAACGAAGTAGTAGTGTACGTAGTAGTCGTTTCGTAGTTAGGGTTACGGGGGTCGGTCGTCTACTACTCGTACTAATTACTATTACTAAGTAATACAGAGAGAGAGAGAGAGAGAGAGAGAGAGGATGCATGAACCTGCTGAGGAATTGAGCAAAAGAAAACTTTAGACCACTAAGTTATGTACAACACTCAAAAACAAAAAAATGTTATGCATGTCAAGAAGAGAGATTGTGAGAGAGAGAGGGGTACCTGTCAAGGAAGTAAGCAATAGGAGATATGACCACAGTGGCTACAGCTTGCCTGTAGGTAACAAAGATGAATCGACTCATTCCTTGCTCAAATGCAAGTCTTGTAATGAGGTACATCACGGCCAGAGATGTCTGAAACAATAGTTGAGCAAAGAGAGGCCCATGATCCCCCATTTCCTATCCAAACACCTACCTGACTCAGCCTAGATTCAGTGTTATATATATATATGACATGCTTATTTTTTTTATTTTTATTTTTTTTTTGTAATTCCAGGAGGAAGATAGCCACTACCTTTTTTTTTCAAAACAATTTAGGAATTAGTTTTTTGAAGTTGTTAGTCAAGTTGAGGATATATGACATGCTTTTTTGTTTGTTTTGGTAATTCCGTGACGAAGATAGCCCCTACCCATTTTTTTCAAAATAATTTAGGAATTAGTTTTTTAAAGTTGTTAGTGAAGTGGTGTTTTTTTCGGTAATTCCGTTGACCCCTACCCCTTTTTTTTATTCAAGGCTGGACTTTCTTAACATGATTGCTTGGTATTTTTTGAGGGCTGGCTTTTAAACCTTCCACTTCATAGAAAGATGAGTATTTATTTTTCCAGTTGTACTAAATCACTCTTATGGCCCTGTCAAAAATCCATCTATTGAGTCATGTTATCAAACTCGGCATGGTCGACTCGACTTGGGCCCTCGCCGAGTCCGAGTGGACTCAGCCGGGGTCCTGTACCAGTCAAAAGAAAGTTGAAACTTTAAAAAGGAATGTAAAAGTTTGGTAAACAAAAAAACGAACAAAAAGTAAAATGAGAAATAGAAATCATTGAAAGTATATAAAAAATTCAAAATGTATAAAACCAAAGGACTAGTGAAAATTTTAATCTATGCCTGAAAATATTTCAGATAAATCAAAAGAAAAAAGAACAAAAAAAAATATTGGATCATGCAGTAAGCAAGTTCCCAAATCATCATTAAAACCATATAAATCATATAAAAATATATTTCTAAATCATATTTTCAAGATCTTGTCCTGAAAATTTTAAATTTCTAATGATTTTAAATGGAGCAAGTTTGAGTTACTCGACCTAGTTCAAGTGAACTCGACTAACGACTGGAACAATGGAATTATGGCATTCGTCTGGTCGCAAAAGTAATCAAATCATCTATACTTATTTACATTCATTTTTTATGGAAAAGGTTTATATAATGCTGCAACTTTATACTATAGAAGTAAGTTACACCTAAATTTTGAAGTTGGAAAACCTTCTAAATGATCATCTCGGCCTCGAGATGTACGAATATAATGAAAACAAGAATTTTAAGGCCTAGAAATATTGCATCTTGTAATAATTTATCAGAACCGTCTATTTTTTAGATTTTCAAGTGTGTATAGATTTACTTGTGTATACACCAATTTTAAAATTGGTAGCTTTTCCTATGTTCTTCACCCAAGGGACCAAAATAGCCTAGTGAACCCTAAGGTCCAAAACAACCTAGCAAACCCTAGGGACCAAAACAACCTAGTAGATCCTAAAACCCAATAGTTTGGCTTACTAAACCAATCCGCATATCGATCTGACACCCCGCGACCTAGAATCAATGCTTAAATTTACTAGCCTTATAGACACCTCAAATTTTATCTAAATTGGACCAATTTTGATTTTAAATTAAAGAAGAGATCAAAAGCTTTTCAACGGTATAAGAATAACATGAGTACAATATACGATTCCAAAGATTGGCCCATAGAAATTTGTTTAATAAAAATTTCATCTAGGTCTAGCCGCAATTTGTGTCATCAAGGAAAGTTGTAGACAACACAAATCGAGTCGTCTAACAAAAAAAAGAACTCAAATGACATGAATAGTATCATCTGACTGTTTTGACCATTTTTTTACCAAAAATTGGAGATAAACACGACGGATAGCCATCAACATCGTGTAGAAACCATTTTGGAGGCCTATAAAGACTGAAAATCAGTCATTTGAGGGGGATCATGCATTAAGAGGGAGAAAGAGATTTAAGAGAGACAAAAAGCTTAGAAACCCTAGTCAAACATAATTTCCAGAGAGAGAAAACCTTAATTCCAACAAACCCTAGTTTAGGAAAACCCTAAATCCTACTCCCAAGTCTAAGCCTTCAACCCTAGAAATCTAGTAGCTTAAATCCTAACCATAGATCTAGGCCATTAAACCCTAGAAAACCCAATATCAAAATTGAATCTTTTTTAGTTAAATTTCAATCAATTTCCAAGGTGAATGAAAGGGAAATTGCGTAAATGACCCGCGGTCCTGATATGCACCCCAATTCTAGGTTTCAGGTGTCCCGGGCCAACTAGCCCGGGTAGGTAAGCTTTTTATGTTTCCTTCTCTGTATTTGCAGTTCATCTTCGGATCAATTTATCTTAGCTTTGGAAGTGTTTTCAGTGTAGAAGATTACCTGGCACTGCCAACAATGTGAGGAGGAAATTGATCTATCAAGTTCAACTTTTCTTCTTTAGATTGTAAAAATCTATCAAGATCAAATTCTATCTAGGTCCAGACAACACGATTTGTGTCATGCAAGAAAGTTCTAGACGACACAAATCATGTCTTCCAGCAAAAAATGAACCCGAACAACATGAATCGTGTCGCCTAACTGTTTTGACCATTTTTACCTAAAAATTGAGATAAACACGATAGATAAGCATCAAAACCGTGTAGACACTGTTTTGGAGGCTTAGAAAGAACTGAAAATTGATCAGTTAGGGGAATTAACCATTAAGAGAGAGAAACATATTTAAGACAGATAAAAAAACTTAGAAACCCTAGCCAACCCTAATTTCCAGAGAGAGAAAACCCTAATTCCATCGATCTCTAGTTTAAGAAAATCCTAAACCATACTCTCATCCTATGCTTAACCTAGGAGCTTAAATCTTAAACATAGATCTAGGCCATTAAACCTTAGAAAACCCCATATCATAATTGAATCTTTTTCAGTTAAATTTCAATCAATTTCCACGATGAATGAGAAGGAAATGGTGTAAAGAACTTGCAGTCCTGATACGGGTCCTAATTCCGAATTTCTGGTGTCCTGACCAATTGGTTCGTGTAGGTAAGGTTTATTTGGTTCTGTCTTTATTTTCAGTTCATCTTTAGATCTATTTATAGTAGTTTTGGAAGTATTTTTGGCTTAGCTCTCTCTCTCTCTCTCTCATACCAGCGGCCCAGCCGATGCCCCATCTCTCCCTCTCTCTCTCTCTCTCTCTCCTCCTCCTCGGGCTAGCGGCCTAACCACTGCCTTATCTCTCTCTCTCTTTCTCTTCCCCCTCAGGCCAGCAACCTAGCCGGTGCACCATCTCTCCCTCTCTCTCCCCCCCTCTAACTAGCAGCCTAGCCGCTCCCCCATCTCTCTCTCCCTCTCTCTCGTATTATTCTCTCTCTCTCTTCTCCCATTTCTCTCCCATTCTCTCTTCGTTTGCTCTCTCTCATTCTCTTTTTCCCTCTCCTCTCTCACTCTCCCTTTCTCCTCTCTCTCTCTCTCTCTCTCTTTCTTTCTCCCTATCTTTCTCTCTCACTCCCCATCCTCTTTCATTCTCGACCTCTCTCCTATTCCCTCTCTTGCCCTTCTCTCTCTCTCTTTTATTCTTCTTCTTCATTCTATATACCACTCATCTCATTTTACATCATTTTTAGGGGGCACTTCCGAGGCATCATTCATTAGTTTAAATACCGGCATCCAATGTCTTGTGAATCCTCCGAGGTACCCAAGCCTCATGGTCGGTACCTTTTCCGTACTTTCAGCAAATACCTCCTTGGGGAAGAGACGCCTTGAGGCTGTCCGATCTCTCTCTCTTCACCCCTTATGATTACTCTACCAGGATTTGGGTCGTCCATCGTTGGGATTAAAGCCTGGCGTCCAACGACTTTTTGATTCTTCGAGAGTACCTCGCCTTTTTTTCTCGGTCCGACGACTTCTTGTTTCATTTCAGATCTCTCTCTTCTCCCCTTTTGATTAGTCTACGAGGATTCAGGCCGTCCATCATTAATATTAAAGCCCAGCATCTAGCGCCTTTGTGATTCTTCAAGAGTACCTCCCCTCTTCTTCCTATTTTGCATCTCTCCTCTCTTCGTCTTTCATCACCCCTCTTCTTTCACTCTCTATCCAAAAGTCACTCTTAGGGTGCTATTTTGAGGCATCCCTTGTTGGTTTACATACAAGCATCCAATGTCTTGTGAATCCTTCAGGGTAACCGTGCCTCGTGCTTAGTACCTATTCTGTTCTGGTAAATACCTCCTTGGGGAGGTGACAACATAAGGCTGCCTAATTCTCAAGTGACTTCCCTCGATCTCTCTTTCTCATCTCCTTTCTTTTCCCTTCTTCTTTATTATCCTTTCTTAAACCCTCAATCTTAAAACCCTCTCTAAAAACTCCCAAACCCTCTCAAAATCCTATCACAAAAAGGGCTAGCCAAGGAACGAAATCTCGAGTCGTCTATCAAGTGGGTACGTGAAGACGTGCGTAGATGTAAGTTAGCCAGAGACAAACCAAGCCAAGAAGCCCAAGGGCTTTCGAATTTATCTAAGAGGGCTCAGCTTCGAGGTGTATCCCGATCCCTCCAAGTGGGGTAGGCTTTACCTCATGTTCTATTTCTTTTGTTGGTTCCAAACCGCATCTACCGCAATGCTCGACCCTTATCAAAGTGGGCACCAGGCTCGCCCTCATGCATATACGTTCGTGAATCCAAAAAGGGAGAGGGGGACGCGACACACACTCGCCTTCGTTTTCTCCTTCTCTCTATTCTAAGAAAAATGTTGCGGTGGTTTTTAAAAAAGGGGCTTTCCCATGCGCGCGAAAATCCATGGCCAACCACATAGACTACCAAGCATATGGGTATGAATTAATCTTTGTCACATAGCTTTTTTCAAAGGAAATAAAAATATATTGTACTAAGAAGTCCCTCTATCTATAGGAAACCTACTCTATGTCCTCTCATATCCTCTCTAGTGATAAGGTCTCCTTTTATCATTGTGACAATTGTTCACTCTTTAATTGTAGCTAAATAATATAGTATATGTTATATAATTTCTTGCAAACTAATGTAATTATAATTGTATATTCATAATTATAGTTTACTATAATATACAATTTCTAATATTATGTTGGAGTTCATATGTCATTATATATATCATCATTATTATATCATTATAAAACTTTTATATGGCAATTACA